TCTTGAAATGGTGCAGCAGATGGTAATAAGGTTCTCAGAAACCAGACAGAATAGAAAATCGAGATAAATTTTGCCATTGCCTTTAACTCTTTCCTTTGGGAAACAGCCAAATCATAGGGCAGATGTGTACTCAATATCTGAATTTTCAAGTAGTAAATGGCTTTTGACATGAACCTAGCATGAGAAACACAGCCTGGAGCTCGAACTTTAAAAAATATTTCGGGATGCAGATACATCAGGGTAAGTTCCAATAACTCCCTATAATCCCCTCTGGGAACAATGTCAGTGTTTAATGCATCCTTGCAAAACTGGATAGTTTCCTCAATCTGGGTAGCCAAGAAAGTATTGCTGATGAAATTGATATCAAACCTTATTAAATTGGAAGGATCAACAGTTTCCTTGATGCAATTCCAGTTTTTCTGAAACCGTTTAAACATTAAATTTTCTGGAGCTGCTGTTTTGCCTGAGGTAATTTGCTCCCAGAAATGTTTAAGATGAAGCTCATAAATATGCCTCCTGCAGGCAAGCTCTAACAAAATAGATTCCTGTCTTTGACTGAACGTAGTATTGGTTCCTGAATGTCTTCCAGTATTTGAGGCAGTTGTGTCAAAACATAATCCCTTCACATCGTCACATATTCCATAATCTTCCAGTACATTATTCAAAGCTTCATACTGAGCAGCTCCAGTTCCATGCTCCATAGCTGGAATTCCAAGAAGCTTAATGTCTCCATCAATATTAACTGAAACAACAAACCTGTCTCTTTTTTCTTTTTTCCCATTAGTGAAATCTTCTATAATTTTTCCATCAAAGTGAGCTATTATGGGGAAAAGTGCTTTCTCAGCAGCTTTTTTAACGTCCTTTTTGTGCTGTGCAGCATTTTGATGGATAGTTTTCTTTTGTGCTCGCCAAATAGTTGATTGAGACAGTAAAAAGTTTTCAACATTTCCACCTGAATTAACAACCAAATCTGTACACACATGCAACAAATCTCTAGAGGAAATATTTTTGGAAACTGAAGTCATGGCAATATCTTGTACAAAATTCTTGGCTAACTGCGACGTATCATTACTTGGACCTGGCTGTTCGAAATTAAAAGAACAATCTGAGTCCATGCTGGTACTTGTATCACTAGTTTCAGAAGAAAACTGAAGCTCTGTAGTCAAATCATCTCTATGAGAAAACTGTTCAACACTATGTACTAACTGTGAATGTTTCAATCCTCTCTGTTCTCTCTTCTCAACCCTCCGGTTATATAGCTTGTCTTTTTTACCCAGAGTCATTTTACGTCTGGCCTTTTGATCTCTCAAAAATTTCATATCTGTACGATACGAGACCTTATTAAGGCTTGTCTTCTTTAGAATATCTTGGATATTTGGTTTAGCAATCCAAAAAACCTTATTTCTTTTTTTTTTGAAATCTTGTCTAGCTTTTCCTGCTTCTTTCGAGTTCTTACACTTACTTTTCTTTAAACTCTCCCAGCTGTTGATCAGATCAGTGATATGCTTCCTATAATAATATATAACTGGTTTAGAAAATATTATATTATCCAAAATTTTTGTAGTGTATTTTATGGTAACCTGTCCATTAAATATGAATTAAATTTTGTTTAACCTACCTTATAAATGGGTCAGTGAGTATCCCATCCTCGTATCCTCCGTCTATCCAAGGTTTCTTAACTGCAAACATAATGCAGTTTTCAGGACAGCTACCAAGACCAGAACACTTTGCTGTTTGTTGACCAATGGTACAAGCAATCAGCTTTTTTCTTAGAGTTATTTTGTCTCCAGATCTTCTAAACTGAAAGTAGAGAATAATGTCTTTATTTGTTGAAAACATTATTTCTGGTAGGTTTTCTATAAGATCCTCTTCTTCAAAAAGATAAGCCTTTGTTTTAAGACTTGTTGATCTTGGCATCTTGGTTTCTAAACAGTAATTTGATTAAAGAAAACAATTCATATTCATTCTTTGATTAAATGACATGTATTTTACGATAACAATTTTGTATATAACCGCAGATAGTATACCTTTTATAGAATGTTATGGATACACCAGATACACAGAACACAGAGCAGAGAATTTAAAACTACGACAATATGTCTTCCGCAAATAAGACAATTTGTTAGTTTATAAAATTACCACGGAAACTAATAAAAATTCCAAAATATTCAGGCATCAAAATGTTATCATAATTAAATATTTATATTGTCTTTTTTTCTAAAGAAAAAAAAGTGATTTTAAATAATATGATTTACAATAAAATTTCAATAAATTTGCTTGCCCCCCTCCCGTCTCCAACAAACAAAGTATGGAGGGGGGGGAGGGGGGGTGGAGAGGGAGGGGGGAGACATCTCTGAAAATAGGGTGAGGGGGGCAGATAGCTATTGACATGTTCCTTCTATATAAACATTATTAATGCTTAGTCCTAACATTATTTTTCAAAATTCGGCCTAAATATGAAGAATAAACAAGCATCAGTTATACGTAGTGGTGCGTCATTTTATGTAAGAATTTGTTTTTTTCGTCACTTTCTCCACACTATGTGGAATAAATACCACCATATTTCATTTTGGTCCTACTCTATTATAAATAAATAGTCCAAAATATACCATATAAAAGAAAAGTTGGCTTTCTGAGTTGATTTTAAAGGTCCCCGCCAGACCCCTAAAGTTTGATACGTTTTTGTACACAAAATTGACCGGCAGGGACCTTTAAAGTCACGTGACATTAAAATTTTTGGGGTTAAAATTATTTTTATATTGGTGGTCAACCATTCCAGGTAGGACCAACTTGATTTTCAAAAATTCGTCAAATATGAATCACCCTAATATATATATATATATATATAAACAAATGTATATATATATACATATATATGTATATATATATATATATATATATATATATATATATATATATATATATATATATATACATATATATATATATATATATATATACATATATATGTATATATATATACATATATATGTATATATATATATATATATATATATATATATATATATATATATATATATATATATATATATATATATATATATATATATATATATATATATATATATATATATATATATATATATATATGTATATATATATGCATATATATATATATATATATATATATATATATATATACATATATATAAATTTATATATATTTATATATATAAATATATATATATATATAATATATATATATATATATATATATATATATATATATATATATATATATATATATATATATATATATATATTATATGTTTTATACAAATATGTTATATACAAATGTTAAAAATCCATTTATATAATCTTCTTCATAACATTATATATGTCGGTCGCCTATAATTTAAAAAGTATTTTTAATAACTACAAAGTCTTATTTAATTCACTGTTTTATTTTGATTTTTTATACATATATAATTGTATTTTAAAAAATTTACAAGATTGAAAAAACACAAAACATATTGTCTTATCGAATTTGAAAATTTGAATCTTCGATTTTAGATATGCCTTGACTCTCCTTTTTCTTGTTATAATTACGTCATCTTCTTTGTTCCGCCGTTTGTACAGCGTTAGGTACAAACGTCTATACGTATAAACATCTTGAGCAAAATTAAGTTTGGCGGGAATATATTAAACGATTATATAAAAGATATGTTTTATATGAGAAAACTTTAAAGTTTGATTTTATCAATCTGAGTTTTACTATATATTTTTTCACTTTAAATAAATACGGGTAAATTGAAAAACTTCAAAATTTATTACGATTAGAAGAGGACTTGAATCCCCCGCAACTATACATATTACACCGCTCTAAACCATTTTATAATCTCTACGTATGTAGAAAAGATGCTTATGTTAGTTTTTTTTGCTTCTAAAAGAATTCTTAAAAATGAATTATTTTACTAAAATATATTTAAGTAAATAAGGAATAACTAAATAAATGATCAGTTTGGAATAGATAAGTACGGGAACAGTCGGTTTGGTAAAGACCCGTTTTTTAAGGGTCCGTTCAGCTAGAATACCTATATTAATAAAAAGTAGAAAACGAGTCAATGTAGAATAGATTTACAAAGAAGTATTTACGGATTCGGTCTGTTTATGTAAAATTAATAACAACAATCTAACATTGTTGAGTTGCGCACCTATTAAATTATGACATATAATATAAAATTAAATAAAAAACAACAATAATAAAAATATTACCCGACTTGGTACTTCTTTCCAGACAAATATCAAAATAACAGATATACCATAACCCCCCATGTTGAGAAAAATAACTATATGATACATCTACCCAATAGTTTCCTGCGGTCGACAATACAGCAAGTCCGTTCCCAATACAAATTAGCACACAATTTATAATATTTATTAAAGCCATTTTGACACCTTTTTATAATAATGATAAACTTAAATATACGCTGTTTAGTTTTTAAATGTCATATATCTTTCTACTTTGAGTTTGAATGGATTTTTAAACTCTGAAATCAAGTGAGTCATTTTATCCTTTTTATTAACAAAATGGATTTTTGTCAATAAAAAGGATAAATACCTGTATTATTAAAAAGCTCTTGAATCCTAATCCCAAAGATATATAGTTTTATTTAGGTTTCGATAACTATATGCTTTAAAATATATAGTGATAAACTATATTTGATATACTGTTTATTTCAAAATAAATAGGGATAAAGTATATGTGATATATTATTTATTATAAGATAAATAGTATATCACAAATAAATTGTCACTATTTGTTTAAAATAAATAGTATATTACTATATTATAGTGATAATTATTAATATAATAAATTTTTTCTTTACTCAAAAACAAGTCTCTCCATCATAGATGAAAATAATGAGAACCAACCAAAAAACCTCCTTTTATCATAAGAAAGGAGAAGCGTATTTGTTTAGAAGAATTCTTTTCATTATGGAAGAATTATTATTATTACATTATCTATAACACTTCCATGATCATATATTGTATTAAGTATTACTACTATTATATTGTCTATAATACTTTTATGATCATATATTGAAAGGTTTGCTATTAAGTTCAGCCTAAATTACTTGCATGATTGAGCGAGAATTGTTAATTGTCGTCGCATTCGATTGAAAAAGTTAAAAAAATAGAGAAACTTTCAGAAATCGATGAATGATTTTACTATTTTTTACTCAGGTGACATTTTAATTCCTACTTGTTTTCACTAACAAGAAATAATTTTTCCGTTTTGTTTACTAAATTTTTATATATGATATCATATATATGAGTTTAGTAAAAAATAAACTTGAAGTATAATCTATTCAATGCAAAAAGTTTTTTTTATTTCTTAATAGGTGAAGGTAACACCAAAGAGAAAGCAAAGTGTCAAACAAAAACCATGTTTAAAAGTTAATGGTAGATATGAGTACAAGAAGATCAAAAGCTCGGAAAATGTAAAAACTATTGCAGTGTCACTCAGTCAGTCCAGATTTTTAAAATAGAATAAAGTTTTCATTCAAAAATAAAACAAATAATATAAAAAAATAAAAAAGTTTGAGGATTAAAACATTAGTTCAAACTTACTTAAAACTGTCCATTTATATCTAAATAAAATAAGAATATATTATGGAAAAAAAACTCCATGTTTGAAACTTCTCATTCAAGTAGCTCACCTGTTACAAATATTTTTGATGTAATTTCTGCTGAAGATCCTCCATGCTCTAATGTGCAGACATATTGTGATGCAGTAGAAAACGTGGTTGATTATAATAAAAATAAAAAAAATTTGGATTTTAGTTTAAATAATTCTGACTTTCAGGAGAATATAGATAAATTAGCTAGCTTTTAAGATTCTGGTGGTAAGTCTTGAGAAAACTGTGAATTTAAGTACAGTTTACGAAAATGGGCTTTAGAGTTTTAGATAACAACAAAAGCATTTTCATCACTTTTAGCATTATTGACAAATTAATTTTTTTATTTACAATTACCAAAAGATCCTAGAACTCTTCTTCAGAAAAAATCTATTATTCTGATTAACATTATTGCAGGAGGAGAATATTGGCGTAATGGCTTTCAGCAGCGGATATTGATAGTTTAGCTAGTTTAAATTTAAAACGCATTGATCCTTGTCAGTCTGAATTAATGTTGATTGACTGCAATTGCTTAAAAGTACAAATTGTCAATTTTACGTTCAATTGAACAGTTTAAAAAGAAAAAATAGTATAACAAACATCCATTTTTATTAGGACTTTTTTATGGTAATACCATACCCAGATATGCCTCTGAGTATCTAAAATATTTGTCGAAGATGTCAATACCCTTATTAGTGAAGGTATTAATATTTGTGGAAAAGTATACAGATTTAAAATATCTTCATTTATTTGTGATACACCCACGTGATGATACACCCACGTGATGATACACCCACGTGATGATACACCCACGTGATGATACACCCACGTGATGATACACCCACAGCAGTTTCAAATTGACTTATTGGAACTTTATTCTGAGCATACTCAGCTTACCACTTGTAAAACATGAGAAAAATTAGGATTTTTATTTATTACTTTATGAAGCTTAACTGCTCAAACTTATTTATTTTTTTATGTTTAATATTTCAACTTCTTTCTTAACCAAAGCCATTTGTTTCAGAGATAACTGATAAAACTTTGTTTTATAAATTTTGTTGTTACAATTACTATTTTTAAAGAGAATTTTAAATCAAACGGTAAAATATTGATTTTGAAATTCTTTTATTTTTCAATCAGCTATGTTATAAGAAAACAAATTTTCTTTATCTGAAAGTAAACATTTTTATTATCATCAGTTCATTATTCTTCCTTTAAACTTAATTTTAGAGACCGATTTTTTTTTTTTTTTTTTTTGCAAGTTTATGTTAATCTTACATACTCGCAATATTTAGATATTTTGTAAACATGGACCATTCAACCGAGTTAAGTCTCATTTGCCAAATATCTGGAGAGCATATAACGAAAGACTCAGTTGATGTGTGTAAATATTGAAAAAGAATTGAAATTTGTTTTTATATAAACACCAGCATTGACAATGAAAATATTCACCCACAAAAAATGTGTAGGAGGTGCTATATAATTATGAGAAACATTAAAAAAAGTTCTAGCACCAGTGTTACAGTAGTTGAATGACCATTACCATGGGCAGAATTATGTTCCTGTTTCTCCAAAGTTTCTGAAAGGAAAGCTAAAAAGTGTAAACCTGGTCGGCCATGTATAATGGAAAACAATCAAGAGAGGTAGACCAGGCAATTCATTAACAACTTAATTGCTAGTTTACCAAAACAAACTTTGCGTACAAATGCAATTGATTCTGATCCTGTATTAAATCCCAATTTAGACTTATGTATATGAAAGTTATGCAACAGCATTATGTATACGCCACTAATATTAAAAAAGTGTCAGAATTCTTTTTGTTCTGTGTGTTTATTCAGAAAGATTAAAGGAAAGCTGGAAACAGAAGCAAAAAGCTTTATTTGTAACCTACAAATTCCATTGTATACAATTTTAAATTCTTTTAATGTAACAAAATTAATAAAGCACATTTTTAGGTTGAAATAAGCAATGTAAATTAAAATTAGTATGAAAGTTCAAATGGGGATTACATATTGAAACATGAAGATACTTGCAAGGTAAATTATATTTATCTTTATATATATATATATATATATATATATATATATATATATATATAAATATATATATATATATATATATATATATATATATATATATATATATATATATATATATATATATATATATATATATATATATATATGTATATAATCTTTATTTATAAAACTTTTAATTTGACCTAATCAATTTAAAATGAAAGTGAGTAATTAAAAAAAAATGTTTAAAATTTCATTTAAGATGGCTAAAAACCAAAGGTATAAAATGAGCATCAAATAAAAAGCAACAAAAAGTAGCTAAACCCTGGTCTGGAGAGGATTGGGTAATTTGTCATGCTCTATTTAACTTTCTTTTAAAAGATTCCAGCGATTCATTTGAGGTAAAAAATGTTAAAATACATTAAAGATCTTTTATTGCATATAATAAACAAACTTAATTTTATAGGTAAAGTATATTTTTATAAACTGTTTTGTATTATGTTGCTTGTATTAAAATTCCACTTGCTTGTATAGTTATACTTTTTTTCTCCGTTTTTTAATTAATTTTTTTTCTTTGAATGAGAAGGAGCCGTTAGAAAATTAATAAGTTACTTTTGTAAAACACGGCCAGATCAGTCCATTACGCCAAAAATGCGTATATTAAAAAGTCATCTTGTTGATTATATTAGGATTTGGGGTTTTGGTCTCGATATTTTTGAAGAGCAAGGTTTAGAATGTATGCATGCTATATTTAACAGTGTGAACAGCACTATTTGCCATATAAAAGGAAAGCAAAGACTAGAAAGTAATCCGTTCAATCACTACATCAAAAACACCCAGATGCTTTGGAAATCAAACCAACTATTCATAAAAAAAATGCTTATGAAAAAAAAGCCTTGTGATGTTTCTTAGATAAATGTTTATATCATTGTAATTGCATAACAACTTAATTTTAATGTTTATTGTACGAAAAATAAATATATTTTACTTCCGAATATAATAAATTATTATTATTTTGGTTATTAGGCAATAGCGAATATTATATTAGGTTGAGTAGATCTGTTATTCCTTTCATTTAATTCGACATCTTGGAAAATCACTACAGTTGCTTTCGGAAGATTTAGGCGGAAAACATATATTTTTATTATATGAAAAATGTTAAAAATATATACAAAAAAAATTTATTCGGTTCTTCAAAATTTTACAGAATTTTTGAATTTCTTTAACTCTTTCTTTTAAACATTTTAGCTTTTGTCAAAAAACTCATTTAAGCACTTATTTATTAAGATTTACTGATTTACTGAAAATTTGTAACTGTAAAAACTGACAAGTTCTAGATTTTCTAAAAGCTGGATAAATCTATTTTTTTTTTTTTTTTTTTATCTTGAAAACTAGTATAACTTAATATCTATTAAACTAGAAAAATTTGATAACCCAATTTTATCAAAAAGTATATAAAGTTTAGATATTAAAAAAAGCGTTTTTAATGTTTATATTGCGTTTCGCATCTTCATTGAATAATGAAACAAATAAATATTTGTCAATGCGCATGCACGGAATAAAGTTCCATTACAAATCTGCCGTGCTCCAGCACAGGCGTTTTTGAGAGGTTGTAAAAGCCACAATGCCTATTTTGAATGAGATAAATGTGCTCTAATGGGTTTGCGTTTTGGAAGAGTGACAGTTTTTGATATGAATGCTAAGCGTTAAACAAATTAATCATTTGCGATCATGAAACAAAAAGAACATAATATAGTTGAATCCACACTAGTTAAACTTGGTATTGGCATGGTAACAGTTTCCTGGTGAATACGTGTATGTTTTTTGTTTAGGTGTAGTTAGGAAATCATTTTATTTATGGGTGAATGGTCATTTGAATATTAGATAAGGACATCGAGAAATACCAAAGCTTTTGGATAAACTAGTTTGCGCTGTAAGCTATGTTCCAAATAAATTTGCTCGCAAACCAAGTCTAATGTTGGAGTTTGAACGATAAAAATCAACAGAATTCAGACTGTTTGGCTTGTTTTAGAGCTCCTTTGTACAATAATTTTTGACTTCTGTTTTGTGCAATAAGAATCTATTTAAGTCATGGTTTGTCTCAACAATTTGAATATCATGCTAATACTTAACTGGTTAGTTTTGTTGAACATGCTTCCTCTCTGTATGGGGTTGAAGTTCTAACTTATAACATGCATAGGCTAACTCATTTATACCATGATGTAAAAAGGTATGGTGTTTTAGACAATATTTTAGCACTTCCATTTGAAAACTATTTGTGTAAATTAAAAAAACTATTAAAAAAGCTGAATTTACCTCTGGAACATGTTGCACTTACACTAGTTATGCAAAACGCTGTATGCTGTGAAAACAATGTATCAGTTGCAAAATATTCTGAACTAAAACAAAAGTATCACTCTAGTGAAATACCAAAAGGTTTACCAAATATAAAATCTCAGTATTTGCAATTGTACTTTAAAAACTTTTTTATAAAATGCTCATCTGGTGATAGTTGTATTGGGTTGAAAACTGGCAAAATTGTAATTTTTAACAATATTTTTCGAATGCAGGCAATTCTGGAGTTTTATTTTTTTAACAAGTTTAAAAAAATGAGAAACTATTTTAATTATCCTTTGGATTCATCGTATGTAGGTATCTTTATCATCATCATCGTATGTAGGTATCTTTATCATCATCATCGTATGTAGGTATCTTTATCATCATCATCGTATGTAGGTATCTTTAAAGTTACAGATCTGTATGATACTAACCAGCTTTGCTCTTTAAGTGAAGTCCACAGAAAATACGTACTCCTTCTTTGCAATAAAAATCAAGTTGCAGTTCCACTAAAACATTTTTAGAATTTATTGAATTATTAACATTTTTGTGCATATATCTGTATATGTAGAGTAATGCAGGACAAAAAAAAAAGTTTTTTTACAATGCCATAATACTAGGGCATAAAATCATAATCTATATATAAATTTTGTTTTCCAACTCCAACTAAAATCCAAAGTTTCAATTTTTATTTTAAGTTCTTCAATAAGATTGATTTGAAGAAGCATTTTCTCTCTCAAAAAACGAGGTTCCTCTTTTATTTCTTCGTTTTTCATTTATATTGCTTTCGAAACAATTACCAATTCTTTTATTGCAGAAACAAGAAATTTATTACTAGGCAGAGTTTCAGCTTTTTATTTTAATATGACTGCTTTTCCTATTTCTTTGTGTAGTTTTTTTTGCACAACGATATGGAGAACAAATAGATATCTTCTATAGATACTATTTTGTATCTTTTTAGTTTATATATATATATATATATATATATATATATATATATATATATATATATATATATATATATATATATATATATATATATATATATATATATATATATATATATATATATATATGTATATATATATATATATATATATATATATATATATATATACATATATATATATATATATATATATATATATATATATATATATATATATATATATATATATATATATATATATATATATATATATATATATATATATATATATATACATATATACACAAGTTATTGACATATTTAATTAGAATTTCAGAACTATGTGTATATATCTGTATATGTGGAGTGATGCAGTACGAAAAAAGTTGTTTTACAATACCATAGTACTTGTGCATAAAAACATAATCTGTACATAAATTTTGTATTTAGTTTTTTAATATAATTTTGCTTCTTTTTAGATCTATATTAGACATTATACTTTCTAAAAATTCTAATTATATATATATATATATATATATATATATATATATATATATATATATATATATATATATATATATATATATATATATATATATATATATATATATATATATATATATATATATATATTAATACATATGTATGTATATAT